AATGGTGTTGAGTTTCCTGAACTGCACGTCTCCACAAACACGTCCAGATTCACGCGTTGAGGTAGCTCAACGCTGCTAGTGGGACTTGGCCCCAGGTCATTCCGAGCTATTGTCTCAGGATTCGAACCGGGTCATGTTCATCAACAATCATGTAGGTGTATTTTTATTTATTTTTTATTTTTTTTTAACCCCAGGGTGTTGTAGAGGCCAAGGACCAGACCTGCCGTGATTGCTGGCAGGGGCAGCCAATGGTTGTCTTGACAGGGTAGGCCACCTACCCTACCCATCCCCAGGTTAATACTCCCAGCGCACCCCCTGTCCCCACTATCCTACCTCAGTGTGACCAGCACTCAGGACCATCACCCTACCAGCATAGAGGGAAACTTTGACCAGACAGCAGTGACAAGCACCAAGGCTGGGCCAAAACCCCCAGCCCTAGTGGAAGCGGAAGCGGAAGAACCTTGCTAGGATTCCCTAGGAAACCTACTGGTGGTTTATGGAAAATTTTCTGCCCAATGTCACGGCTGATAGATGACTTGTGCTCGAATCGTGCAATAGAATGAGTCAAAATAATTGCGAATTACGCGGAGCCGGTTATTTGCAGGATAATACCCTCCTCCAGGCTGTCGCCTCAGGTACAGAACCCTCTACGAGCTATAACAGTAGAATAGTTCATGCTCACATCATGACGTCCACAAAGGAATGTGGTCGTAGTTCAGGCCAGATACGTTCAGGGGAGTGCAAGATGAGTATGCCCTAATACTCCACGGATACCACGTAAGGAATCTTTTTTCTGTGTTTTTATTCTCTTTATTTGAATCATTTCTCGCTTTATGCGTGTCATCCTTGCTCAGGGCCCATGCTAATCTTCTCTGCATCCTTCCAATTTTAACGGATGTCTCCAAGGACGTAGGGGCTCGTTAGACACTCCTCGGGCGCGTAAATCCCCTGAGGAAAATTTCGTTCCACCTATCCTCGGGGATGAAAATGGAAAAAAAAAGTGAAAACATTTCCTTGGGGAATCCTCGGGCCTTCCTTGGGGGACTACGGCCATTTGGTGGCATTCCCCAAGGGACCTCCCAAGGTCCCTTGGAGGTCAAGGATCCTTGATAATCGGAGCAGCGAGGGCACCCGTCGTTCGTCGGCTGTTCCATTGGAGTTCCTACCGGGCAGCGCACGGACATCTTCGGCCTTCAACGTTTAGCTTCCAGGAACCTTATGCCAAGTTTTGCCAATGGTCACCGTTGGTGGCCGGCTGCCGGCCCCCACGGACGTCGTCAACCAGTGTTCTCCCTCACAGTGCGTGCCGCCAAACGGAGAGGGGTTGAACGGTCAGCAAATTTGAAAACTTCTGCTCCGATCGGCAATTGCCCACTGTATTCCGTGATGAAATATGTTACAAGGCGTTTGTCCCATGCTGCGGTCTGCCGTTTGCAGCCGTCTTCATCGCCATTTGCTGGAGGTGTACCGTCGTTGTCTACTTCCCTTGTGATGCTCAACCTCACGCCCAGCGCGACTTCCTGATCGGAGTGGGATGGGGGCCCGGAAGTGCGAAAAAGGGGGTGTGCCAAGGATTTTAGGAAAGTGGGGGTGGAGTCCCAGGACAGAACCAAGATCTCCTGTGGCAAGTTTCGGGGCTAAAAGTGCAACAGGGCAAGTGCGCACGGTGTTTAGGCTTTTCAGGCTTTTTGAGGGAATATACCGCCTTTCATTCTTAGTGTAAGGAAAGGAAAGCTGCAGATGTCGTGTAGCATAAGGCCGATGGTCTGCGCAGTGTATCCCAGGGATAAGAGTCCCGACGTAATCGCATTGTTAACAGATCTAGATACTCTTGCATTCTCGAACGGAATCCCCCACGGCATTGCCCCTGTCGTCGATCTCAAGCATTTTTCTTATGCCTTAGGCTCGAGAGATGGGAATTAACATCTCCTTTGGTTTTGCGGTCAGTCACGGACCTGATGGACAGGGTGCACGCTATGGGCGTCACGCTGTCTGATCAACTGCTGTCGTGGATCGCTACAAACTTCAGAATCAGACGACGAGGGTCTCAGCTGAAGGTTGAGTGCCCGTCATTCAGACTCCTGTATTTGTTGTCTCGCTGGCACTCAGGACAAGGGGTTCGAGGCCAATAGGGAGCGATAGCGTGCCACAGGATGACGGTGAGGTAATGGAAGGGCAGCACTACTCGGTACGGTGGGCAGTGAGTTATTAGGACGACAACCTCGGGTTCTGAGAAGACGTGGTTCGTGTGGGATTCGGGGAATTGGGCTGTGTAGGGAACAGCGTCCAACACCCTTCCTATATCCCAGTCGCACACACGTTCGTCTCCTCGTTGGTCGGGAAACTTCGGAGGATCGGGGCGGGGCTGAGCGAGGAATTGCGCGTTCTTTCGTTCCCAATATTTTCGATACTCGGGGTCCCGCAAACTTTCTTGGTCCGTAATGCGAAACATCCTGTCAATCCGGCGAAAACGTCGTCATGGCATGCACACAGATTTTGCAGACACGCGTGTAGGCACCGTCCCTTTAGGTCGGCCTTACACGTGCGTGCACAGGATCTGTTCGCGGCTAAGTGAGGGGCTGGTTTTGGGTGAGCAGGAGTGAGCGCACGCGATGGTCGATTAGAAGATGCAATCTGGGTTATCCTAACTCAGATTTCGTCGCTTTCTAGTACCCATCATCATTGTCTTCCCCCTTCCCAAGGCGTATGTCGTGCGTGACCCCTCAGTCCCTCCCGAATAGTCAATTGTGAATAACCAATCATGGGCCCGTACAGCCGCGACTTCTGCGTACACCTATCTGTTCTACCATTACGCCCCAAGTTCTCACTCACGCAATCATCAAAACAACGAACCCCCCAGACTCATTCATGTCAAACGTGTGTATCTTAGATCGAAGGGAAAGACCGACATGCACTCAAACAAAAACCACTGATCTTGTAGGAAATTGAGAAATGCAGTCACGTCGCAACCAGGGAGCAAGAAAGTACAAGCATTCATCAGACTGTCAACCATGCACGATTAATAGAGTGGGAAAACAAATGATGACGCACATGAGATGCATAACAATTCACAAAGAAAATCTGAAGTTGCCGCAACGAAATTGGCCAAGGCGGAAATCCCAAAATTTATACAAGAAGGTTGGAAGAAGAAGAAACAGAAGGAAAAGACACCATCCCGATCCGTCTTTTCTCTCTCTCTTTCTCTTCTCTCTCTCTCTCTCTCTCTCTCTCTCTCTCTCTCTCTCTCTCTCTCTCTCTCTCTCTCTCTCTTTCCGTTGCGGGCAGTTCGTCGCCTCGCATCAACACCACGATACTGGCAGTCTGTCACCGCGTATCAACACAAAGTTGTCACCCCGCTTAGTCCAAAGCCAGGTTCGCCCGTGCGCCACAGTTCGTCGAGGCTTCGCACGTCAACCCCGCATACCCGACACCAGCTTGTCGGATCGGCCAACTCTCATACTCACTCACCCTCCAAACGTGCTTGTTAGTTGACCCTCACTGATCACGCTAACCTCGAGGTTCTTAGAGGGACAACTAATCGCGCTTGCGAAATTTATAGCATGCATGCTTGCGCGAAGGGTACGGGGTTAGCCCAAGTGATGAGAAAGGGACGAGAGGAAGTGCCTACGCCTGCATGTCCAGGCCGCGGTGCGGGGGACGGAGCCACTCTCCGCGCATCGATCCGGGCATGCAACGTGAGAACCGCTTAGAATAGAGGGGGAAAGTGTGTATACGAAGACGAGGCGGGAAAGAGAAACACGAAGGCCATCACGAACAAGAAGATTACAGTTGTGATTGGGCCCGCCAAAAGCTACAGTTACACACAAGATTAGGCACAAATGGAAATCAGAGCCCATACCCTGTCGAGGCACGGCGTGAGAGCAAGAAGCAACGTGCAGCAAAATTGCAAGATGCCTTAATTCCTAGTCTGAATCCTTATGGCAAAAGAAAATTCTAAAAGAAAAACAATTCTAAGAGCCTGTGGAGGGGTCCCGTCATTAGTTCGAATTAAAAAAAAATGAAAATTCCCGTGCGCTAATCGCGCCAAAATTTCTAATGCTCTCAGCAGAAAAAAGAAGTTATGGCAACCGTTATTTCTCGCGCTTGCTAGGGCGCGGCCACTCAATCGTCGGCGCGGGGCTTTCCTGGCGTCGGCCCAATGATTTCCAACAAAAACGAAAAAGAAGCGAGGGCATCCACGCAACTTGCCCAACCGATCCCTGCTTACTCCCGTCACCCATCAAAGCCCTCTCGTTTCCCCATAGCAGCCTCGCGCAGAAAGTCGCGCAGTTACAGAAGATGGTTCGTCACATATGTGACGCTCAGGGGGTTCCAATTTTGAGCAAGCTCCCGATTGCTCGCCCATCAGGCTTCGATCCACGATCGGATGATCGACGCAGAGCTTTCATGTGCCACACCGTAGGATCCGAGTGTGGAAGTCATCCAACGTGGCAATCGTGTGCTCAATCCAGAATGGTGTCGGGGAAGGGTAGTCCGATTACGGGCGGGGGAGGGGACGAATGTACCTGGGAAAGGGGAGGCATGAAAGTATAGATCTCCCTATCATCAGAAGGGAGTGGGATGTAGTAGATGGAGCGATGGATGCGAGGAAAGCGAGGGTGTCGTCGGTGGTTGGGGAGGGAAGCAAGGTAGTCGGGGTAAAGGGTGGTGATGGTACGGCGAATGGTTGTGCGGAAATTGTCATAATCCTCGCGCGCAGGGATCGTGCCGGAGACGATGTAATAAACCTCCATGTGATTGAATTCCTGCCAATCGACGCTAAAGAGTAGGACATGGAGAGGAAAGGAAGTGACAAGCGAACGGGTAGTAGTGTGCGGGAAGATAGTAATCAGGACCCGGGAGGAATAGCGATGATATAAGAGGGGAAGAGAAGAGGGGAAGAGGAAACAGGTGCGACCTATTGGGGAACAGGGGTTGGCCTACAAGCTGTCGGACGGTGAGGAAGACATGGGGACGACGGGATAACGATCGGGGACGAAGCCCGAGTGCTCGCATCTCGACGTAGGCGAAGGGTGGCACGGGAGGGTGAGGAGGATTGGGAGGGGGATCCACTTCTTCAGCGGCGGCGGCTTGTTGAGGGCCCGGCTGCAACGGCTCCATCTCTCTCATCTTTTTCCCGTGGAGGCTCCGGATTGAGTGCAGGATTTCCCTGCAGCAGCTGCGGTGGCGGTCCTGAGTCCTCGACCGGATGTTTGCCTTTCGCCTTTTCCCGCTGCTTCTGGTCCTCAGCGTCCTGCTCCTCCCTCATCAGCTCGGCTGCTTCACTTGAATCAGTCGACGTGTCTTCCTCCTCCGACTCATCCCCCTGTTCCTCGTTGTCTTCCTTCGATCCAACCTCCCCCAACACCTCGTCGTCAGACTCTTGGTGGTCAGGATCGTCGTTCCGCTCCTCGTCCTCTGCCGACCCTTCGGACTCTTCTTCCTCCTCTTGTACCTCCTCGCGTGTCTGTCCTTCAAGGATGCGTCTAACGAGCGGGTCCCACGTGGACAGATCGGTGATGTCGACTGTTAGAAACACGCCCCTCGAGGGCAAATAGTAGCTCCCCTCGTCTAACTCTATACACGTGGACCACAAGAGGTGCGGCTCCAAGGAGCGAGTAAGCGTCCTTGTTCTTGGCCTTTCGTTGCAGCACGACAGGATTTCCAGCGGCAAATCATCCAGCACCTTGACCAGGAATACCAGCAACTCGTCCATGATGGCGCTCAAGTTGTCGTCCCGCACTTCCCCAAATATAATTCCCATAAAATTTCCTTCCGTTCCTGGCCTCATAGCTTCGGACTTGTCGGCCATGGGCCAATTTCGTCAAACGCTGTCTTTTTCAGGCCAACCGGGGGAGGGTTGTTTCATCATTTAGGCTCGGTAGGGTTACACACGGTAGGCTATTGGTCCGTAGCTAGAATGGCGTCAGGCCCGTAGATTCGTGGGGTGTCCCCCTATGAATCGCAAGGATATGATCCACGATATCTGGCCAGGGCCTCGTGTCTTTGGCCGCGATATTGCGTCGCCGATTGATTGCGACATATGGGGAGCGGTATTACAAATGGAGACACCGTGTAAGACCAGGTTCCTCAAAACATCCCCTCTGAATTCAGCCCCATTATCTGTTAAGATTTCTTCCGTATCCTGGTGCATGCCGAGGAAACGGTTGACATACTGCGCGATTTTCGCCGCCTGTCTTGTCTTACAAGGATACGCCTCGATCCATTTTGAAAAATGATCGACAAAAACCAAAAGGATTGAATATTCGCAGCTATTCGGTCTAGGGGGTAAGACAATATCCAACGTATCCGTGCTAACCCTTTGAAATGGTTGTTGGACTTTGGTGGGTACTACCGACCTAGGCGGCTGAATTGGTGCCTTGTTAGAGGCGCAAACCTGACAATTTCGGACGATGAATTTAACATCATCGCGAATGTTCGACCAATACCACTCGTTTTCATCGATTGCGGCTTTCGTAATTCTGACAACAAAGTGGGCGGTGGTTTCCTCGTGCGCTGACTTAACCCAGTCATACCTCCTGAATGGATGCGGGATAGACATCCAAATCCCGCTACCATCCGTTTTTCGTTTTCTAGCCGTCCTTCGTTCCAACGGTTCCATCGATAATCCCGAGCCCGCTCATTGGCCCACCTCCGATCCTCCTTTGTGAAGGCTCAGAGGGGGTTCCCAACCACTGTAGCTATTAGGATGACATCTTCCCTAACCTCAACCCTCCTAAACTGTCGAGTCTTCTCTAACCCTTCAGACGTGGCTTCGAGGAATCGAGCCTCCGTCGGAATTTTATCGGTTCGACATAAGGGACATAACCAAGACTTGGCCGTATTTCGGTACTGAATACATGATCCATGAGCTTGGGAGACACAGCGCAGACAATCCACCCATTCGACATATCCTTCCCCGCTAGGACGCATAGGGACCGAATAAACCCTCGAAATTGCTTCGCAAAAATAGCAAACTTTATCGGGCAGGGAGAGAAGAGATGAGGACGAAGGGGGAGAAAGAGGGCCTTCAGAATTACCTTCGTACCCCGATGCCATTGTCACCGCCAATCACTTCTTAGTAGGTCGAGGGAGGATGGTCAGTTGTCCGTACGAGGGCTCGCCGTTTGACTCTGGCTCTTTCCACGGCGTAATCTCGTCACCCTTGGCTACCTTGTTGGGCCGATGTAATCGTGTCAGTCCGTCAGCGTTGTCGTGCTTCTCTGTTTTTCGATGGATGCTATCAAAATCGTACTCTTGCAGTCGCACAGCTCAACGCCCAATCATGCCCGTGTAGTTAGTAAGCTTCTTGAGAGCTAGCAAGGGCTCATGGTCCGTGACGAGGAGGAATTTCTGCCCGTATAGATACGGAGGGAAATGCTGGATTCCCCACACGACAGCGTAACATTCACCTTGTGGGGACGAATCGTTTCTCCTCTCATCTGGCACCGTTCGCGAAGCGTACTCTATGACGTGTTCTTGGCCGTCGTTCCCCTTTTGAGCCAAAATAGCGGAGATCGCTTCAGGCTGCCAGTCCGTAATGAGTATGAACTGCTTTCCCGGATCGGGCCGAATTAGGATAGACGCCGTAGCCAAGGCCTCCTTCAAGGCGACAAAGGCCTGCTGACACTCCGCGTCCCAGTTCTGCGGCTGGTCCTTCCGTTAAATGTTCGTCAGGGGCCGTGCGATAGCAGCAAAACCCTTGATAAATCGACGGTAGTATGAGGCTAGTCCTAGAAAATGCGACTTTTCTCGAATCCGGTCGCAAGCCTCCTCGTGTCACCATGCACCCTAAAAATGAAATTTTCGAAACGGAAAATTCACTTTTCTCCAATGCAATTTTGAAACCAGCGTCCTTCAACGCCCTAAGTGTCCATTCAATGTGCTAAGCATCTGTGGAACAATTCCGAGAAAACCAGGATATCTTCCATGTACACAATGACGCATAAATTGATCATGCCCTGCGTTAGCCTGGTCTTGTTCACGAACTTCTGAAATGTGACGTTCATCGCTTTCTGAAACGTGGCGGGTGCATTGCAAATCCCCATCGGGCAATGAATCCATTGCTAGGTACTCTCAAATAACACAAAGGTCGTTTTGGGCCGATCCTCCTCCTTCACCAGAATGTGATGAAAACCATGACGAATATCGAACTTGCTAAATAATTAGCATAGCCAATCGCATCCAGCAAATCATCAATGCGGGGAAGGGGATACACATCCTTGATCGTGATATCATTTAATTTTTCGATAATTGATGCAAATGCGAATCGACCTGTTTTTCTTTGGAACTAACACTATCGGGGACGACCAAGGTCCAGTTGCGGGTTCGATCCACCCATTAGTCTCAAATTCTCGAATTCTCTCTAACGTGATCTTCTGTTCTATTACCGAGTATCGATATGGTTTGCAATGGATTGGCGGATGGGTTCCAGTCTGAATTTCATGTTGGATACCGACAACCCGATGTCCGTATCAGTCACACTAATCGCCCCTTGATATTCGGTGAGTATATCGGCAGTCAGTCGGTGAATCTCATTTGGTACATACTGTGGTATGTGCAATTCGTATGGTTGTCCATATATGGTAACGACCACGTACTTCGAGCTTGCCCGCTTGCTGTTTTCCATCGGGGGAGCAGAAATGAAGGAGTTATCCGATTACCAGGAAAATACGGTAATAATCATTTGTGCATCTTCTTCTCGGATGGCCATGTGCTCCTCAGGGGTCACGCCACCATTGCCATCCGGCCAGTATGCTGGCCTTTGAGGAATTTTAATTCCGAGTTTGTACATCGTAGGATCATTAAGCTCAGGGGGTTCCGAAGCTTCGCTTTCGGCCCCTAAACGTAGCAATCTCACCTCCTTTCCCGGAGTGAGTAAGGAACGAGGCAACCCCATGATGTCGCAGAACGCCTTCTTTTCTCGATATCTCGAGAGAAGTGGGGTGGTTGCTTCACATAGGGTTCAAGGGGGTTCCAAGGAATCAATCATCTGGGATACTTGCACGAGTGGTTCTCCAAAGATTAGTGCTTTCAAGGGGGTTCCAAGGAATCAATCATCTGGGATACTTGCACGAGTGGTTCTCCAAAGATTAGTGCTCGAGTCCATTGCAGATTCTTTTCGGTGAGGACGAACGTTTTTGTTGTCTTTTGTCGAATGGGGTAGCGGATCGAGCACTGCACCATATCTTGGATTACGGGGCCTGCGTCATCCTCGCTATCAGAGGAGCCGTTGGTTGGTTAAGATTTCTTTCCTCTTGCCTCTTTCTCAGGGCTCGGCACTTTCCACGTGATCACACGGAGAGAGCTCCTGATTTCGGGCAGGGGTCTTGGTGGTAAAGTGGTTCGGAGGGTCAATCTCATTGGGACGACGTATGGCTTCCAGCCTGTATTCCGAAGAATAACAGACCGTCTTTCGAAATCCAAGTTAGCTCGTAGCGCCGTGAGGGCTGGTAATCCTAGGAGGACATCGTAGGTGTGAACCCTGCCTAATGTGAGAGCCACATTCGTCATCCTCCCCACTGCTTTAATCTTTTCTTCGTCCGCTGAGACAAGATGATCACCTTTCGCTAACGTAAGTAGGTCTTTCTATCTTCCAATCCGTTCCACGACCCTCAATGAGATAGCTAGGACTGCCGCTCCCGAATCAAGTTAGTGTTGTATGGAATTCCCCAAACTTCGATGTCACATTCTGCGGATTTCCACGGGATGGTTTTAATCCGTAGAAAATGGTCATCTTTTTGTATTATTCCCAACCGTATCGGATCCGACGTGTTAGGAGTAGTGGGTTTCTCCTCGATAACCGGGGATTTACCCTTCTAGGAGTTAGCTTGGCAAGAGCAAATCTTTTCCTGTTTGCCTTGCAATGCTGCTACATGCGTTCGTTGGCCTGTTCGGATATGGACAGTAAGTGCCCTATGGGTAATGGGATTCGGTGGTCCAAGGCTCGGACAATGTCCAAAACGTCGATCTCCCCAGTGACGAAGCTGGGACCACCCGCCTCCATCTGACCTGAGGACGATCTTCATTCAGCCACTTTTTTTCGTTCTTCCACCGGCCGGATTGTCCCAATCATCCCTAGTCCCGGATATCCCAAGGCAACGTACTTATGAAGCTGGATGAGTTCCACTTCTTCCTCAGCAAGGGCTATCGTACTTCCTTTGTTTTCAATTTCTTCTAGCATCGTTCCCACCCTTCCCGCCCGCATTGCCACGGGTGCAGCAGCCACCGAGGCCGCTTTGACTCGTGGTTTTGCGGGTCGGTGAGGGCAGTCTCGAGCTATGTGGCCCGACTGATGGCACGTGTAACAAACACTCAAGTTAGCTGCGGCTCCGCCCATAGCCTGGGCAACAGGAATTGCTGCTTGCGCAATGGGTGCAGCTCTGACAGCAATGGGGCGCATCGATCGCATCAGAGATTCTATCCGGCCATTGTGTTCACGCTGTTCCTTCTTACTTTCTTGCATCAGACTAACTAACGTGCGGGTTAGTTCAAGCATCGCAGTACTTTCGTTTGTCCTATTCGGAACTTCGTGGGAAGACACAAGGGCTGCTAAGATTGGTACAGACGTTCCCACAATTGCATCTGGTAGGGATTTTTTGGTCAGGATCTGCTCAAGATAGGTGACGGGGCCAGAAATGAAGCCCATGTTTTCGAACTTGTTTTGAAGTGCTGCCAACTCAGCCCTTGCTCGGGCCAGCTCCGAAGAATCCCCTTCCCTGGGAAAATCTTCTCCTTCTAGGAAACTGGCAGCAAATTTTTGCTCCATTTCCTCGGATGCGGTCATAATTTGTTGCAATGTATGGTTGATAGGGGAGAACTGCTGCCGCAGTTTCGCCCTTATGGCTCTGCTACGAAGCCCATCAATAAACAGATCTCTTCCAACTTCTTCTCCACGTTGGGTTTTGACAAACATTCGGTAAAACCTGTTTCGATATTCGGTGACCGACTCAAGCGGTTTCTGAACTCGATCTTTGATCATAAAGATTATTAAAGAGCGCTTGTTCCGGATGAATGTAATCAAATTGATTCAAGAAATCCCGTTTAAAGGTTGGGAGATCCACCCAAACGTAAGTGCTAAACCAGTGGTGAGCGTCCCCTCCCAATTGAGCGGGAATATTAATTTGTGTTTTGTTGTTATCATACTGTCGTGCGCGCAATGTGGCCAACCATGCTTTTGCCAAATGATGTGCAGGATCGAAAAGAGAAAGATCCGGTGGAGGTATGGGTGTTCGAGGCCGCGGAGCCGGGTCAAGCGCAGGATTCGGATTCTGATTCTGGTTTGCCGCTGGGTGAGCATTCATAGGGGCCGCTCGTCAAGCAGCCGATCTGCTCCTTGTTACCACGGGATCAAGTTGCGGCGCGTTCCGTTGTCTGGGTCACCCTCTGTTCGCCAGGTCTCTCTAAGAGAAGTACTTCCTTCTACTAATCCGTCAGCCTGCCACGTGTCGGCTCCGATACCAACCTCACGCCCAACGCGACTTCCTGATCGGAGTGGGATGAGGGTCCGAAAGTGCGAAAAAAGGGTGTGCCAAGGATTTTAGGAAAGTGGGGGTGGAGTCCCAGGACCAAACTGAGATCTCCTATGGCAAGTTTTGGGGGTAAAAGTGCAAAAGGGCAAGTGCGCACGGTGTTTCAGGCTTTTCGAGCGAATATACCACCTTTCAGTCTTAGTGTTAGGAAAGGAAAGTTGCAGATGTCATGCAGCATAAGGCTGATGGTCTGCGCAGTGTATCCCAGGGATAAGAGTCCCGACGTAATCGCGTTGTTAACAGATCTAGATACTCTTGCATTCTCGAATGGAGTCCCCCACGACATTGCCCCTGTCGTCGATGTCAAGCATGTTTCGTATGGCTTAGGCCCGAAAGATGGGAATTACCATCTCCTTTGGTTTTGAGGTCGGTCGCGGACCTGATGGACAGGTTGCATGCTATGGGCGTCACGCTGTCTGATCAACTGCTATCGTCGATCGCTACAAACTTCGTCATCAGACGACGAGGATCTTAGCTGGAGGTTGCGTGCCCGTCGTTCAGACTCCGTTCGGGTTCGGCGAAAGAACCCCGAGGCTCTGTACTTGTTGTCTCGCTGGCACTCAGAACAAGGGGTTCGAGGCCAATAGGGAGCGATAGCATGCCACGGGATGACAATGAGGTAATGGAAGGGCAGCACTACTCGGTACGGTGGGCAGTGAGTTATTAGGACGACGACCCCGGGTTCTAAGAAGACGTGGCTCGTGTGGGATTCGGGGAATTGGGCTGTGTAAGGAACAACGTTCAACACCCTTCCTATATCCCAGTCGCACACATGCTTGGAGTCTCGTCGGAGGTCCTGATATTCTTTTAAATGTGCGGCCTTCAGTGCCTTGGGCACTGGGCCCCGTGAAATAAAAGTGAATCTCAAAAAGAAAAGAAAAAAGATAAGTGCATCCACAGCACTCCTGTACCCTTCACTCAGTCCACCGTGGGAGACGTGGAATCGTTCCGACTTTCTCGTTTCTTCTTATATATAATTCGGGTACTTCAAATAGAAACCAACGCATCTCAGGTGGGATACAGAACAGGCAGCGGCGTATGACTTTGTTCGTTTGCAGTTTTCGACGTGTCGTGTTTTTTTTTTGTTTTTTTTTTTTTCCTGTTGACGCTTTGTAAATGGCATTGTACTGGCACTTGCGCAGTTCTGCTTTTTTTTTGTTTGTTTGTTTTTTTGGTGGAAATGACATCGTGATTGCTCTTGCCCCCTTTTTCTTTCCACAGCATCTGAGCTGCAAGAAAGGCGGATATTTAACAGAAAGAGAGGGGATGATAAGGGGGAGGGGGAAAAGGAAATCGTGATAGACTCACAGGATGCGAAGAGCTGTGAAAGGACCACTGAAGCATCAGTTACGGAGAAGCAGCTGTCATACGAGCAGCTGCAGAAAGCTACAAGCAACTTCTCCCACTCAACCATGGTGGTGAAGCATGATATGCAGATCGTTCACCTTGCAAAGCTGCCACGTGGCAAGGCGGCTGTCATCGAGCAATTCACTCTGAAAATTGACACAAAGGAAGAGGTAGGTTCTCTCTTTTTTTTTCCTTCTTCCTCCCTCCTGTTTCTTTCTTTTTTCTTTTTTGAAGTTTTTTTTTTCTTTTTTTTTTTTCATATTTCTTCTCGTCTCATTCCCTAAAGGTTCCATCCATCTTTTAAATTCTTTTTCCCTTTTTTTTTGGACTTCAAAAAAAAAAAATCATTCAATCCTGTGTCAGATAACCAGAGCTGCGGTGAGGGGAAAAAATAGCCCCAACAAGAGGGGTTCGTTGACGTGGACCTCCCCCCTCCCTGTCCAAATCGGAGCTCCCATTTAGCCCATTGACAGTCTTGCTTGCTCTCTTACACACGGAACCGCAAACGATTTTGATGAGAGGGCAACTGACTACCATCCAACAGATAAGCCGCTGAATATTGCATCACTCGGTCATATGATTGACACAACCTGACGGCATGTTCTTAGAAGCACATCAAGCCGTGTAAGATGGATGACAAGATGTCATGTTAATACCTATTTCGACTTCCATTTACTAACTTGCCAGGTAATTATCTCTCAGTGGAGTCAGTGCAGGTACTCTCTGTGTGTGTATGTGTGTGTGTGTGCGTGCGTCTGAGTTTGTGTGTTTGTTCGAGTGTGTGTGTGCATGTGTGTGTGTGTGCGTGCATGCGTCTGACTCTGTGTGTTTGTTCGAGTGTGTGTGCATGTGTGTGTGTGTTCGTGTGTGTGCGTGTGTTCGTGTACGTGTACGTGTGCGTGTGCGTGTGAGTGTGAGTGTGGGTGTGGGTGTGGGTGTGGGTGTGTGTGTCTGTGTGTGTGTGTGTGCGGGTGCACATTTTTGTGCTGTGTTTGGGGTGAATGTAAGCATAGTGGCTTACTTGAACGGTTGGTCGTGAGGCCACATTGTCATTGTCACACAGTTGCTGTGCCATTCCCGCAGCTCTGCACACTGGCCCCGAAGAAGCCCGTTCGTCAGTCCTTCGCCGACTCGCCACAGATAGGGGTAGTTTGTTCTTTTTCCCCGATGGACCACGTATCAGATATGAAACTGATGAGACCAGATATGAAACTGACGAGACCAGATATGAAACTGACGAGACCAGACCAGAAACTGACGAGCCTGCCTGTTTGCAGAGGTCTGATGGACCTATAAGATTGATTAGAGAGACTGATCCGTTGCAAAGACCCCGAAAATAGGGGGGGGGGAATCACAAAATGAAATGAAATTCGAAAGAGAGAAACTGACATAGAAAATAGCGAAAATGAGTGAACATTGGGGAGGCAGCGGGCGAGTAAATTATCCAATCATGAATGACATAGGGAGGTTGTGACAATAAATAACAATGGTGCGCTAAAGAAAAAAATAAAAGAAAATCTGAAAATGAGTGAAGATTAATTTGAATTTTGAAATGAAAGATGCACACTGTGTGAGGTAGCTCGCTCTGAGGACTCGCCATATCCACACGACTACCTGTTCCTTGCTCTGAGGACTCCCCGTACCCACACCACTACCGGTAGTTCGCTCTCAGGACTCACTATATCCACACGACTACCGGTAGCTCGCTCTGAGGACTTGCCATATCCACACGACTACCGGTACTTGGCTGTGCAAAAGAATTCCCCTTCTTTCTGCCTTGTCCAGTAAGGAATAAATGAATCAGACATGCACAGAGATTCAAAAAGCCCCCCCCCCAAAAAAAAGGCAGGGTGGGCGGGGGGGGGGGGGGGGGGGGGGGGGGGGGGGAGGAGTCAACATGCTCTGTTTAATATCTCACCATCACCACAATGAGCATGACATTTCTCAAGGAAACTCGACAAGATGTAAGATCAGTCTGACAGCTCTGGCATTGTGAGCTGCAAAGGAGGAAGAGTGCATGACGGCAGCTTTTTAGTTTTAACTGTATCTGGAATTCTGTGACTGCCTTGAAAAAAAAAACAAAAAAAAACTGGTACGTGATGTCATGATGATTCAGAATGAATATTCCCGATACATTGAAAAGCTGCGAATGACCAGGGCATAGGCTCTTTTTTTTTCTTTTCTTTTTTTAATGTTTTAACCAGGACATAGGCTGACATGACAACGAGAGACAAAAGAACAAAAGAAGCTAAGGAAAGGAACTTTGTGCAGATCGCAACAAAGGAAAAGGAATTGACTCAATTGAGTATTAACTTGCTACTAACCTGTACCTAGTCATCACAACCAACACAAGATTTTTTTCTTCTTCTTCTTCTTCTTCTTCTTCTTCTTCTTCTTCTTCTTCTCCTCTTCTTCTTCTTCTTCTTCTTTGTTGAAACAATACAAGATTGTCAAGGAAAGTACATCAACAAGAGCTAACCCACACAAAAAAAGAAAGAAAGAAAGAAAGAAAGAAAGACAAGAACTCGGAGCAGTCTCTGCTTGCTTTGGCATCAAGAGTTGTGGCAGGCGGGAAACCCGGGAAAGTGTTAAGCTCATTTGCAATAGCCAACCTTTCTTTATTCTGCATCTGGAATTTTGTGATCGCTAATAGTGTTGTTAAACTCAATTTTGATTACCGGCTGTGTCAGAATGAACCTGGTCATGTAGAATGGCACGTTCATGATGTGAGGGCCAACCACATTCTTAAGTTTGCACCTACTGGTACCGGTAGATTTGCAGATTCAAAAAAAAAATTAACTGGAACTCGTTGGAAGATATTCCGGTGAGACCAACAAGCTTAAGCTCAGTTGGTACACAGTACACCCGCCACTAACTGTTTGAAATGCAGACCCAAGTCGGAAACCAGTGATGGATGGACGTAGATGACTGAATTCAATGAAACGAAAATACCTGTGAATTATAGCTAGGGCCGGTCAAGGGCCAGTCAACTGGATGACGATATCTCAGGGTCGTCACCGTTGAAAAAAATGGATAATTTGCAAAATACCCCCATAAGTTGGAGATATATGCCAAAATGCCCCTGAAAGATGTGGGTAGAGCGGAATGTGTCCTTTTGGGGCCGAAATCTTTGTGTTGTGCCCTTGTCAGGCGGGTGTGCAACTTTGCAATCTGGACCTCCCCGTTTGGGACTTGGCCTTTTGTTTGGCGAGTACTGGGGCATTTTGCGAAGTTGGACGGTACCCGGCAGGAGTATATTGCAAAAGATGGGAGTCCAACCGACGCCTGGGGTATTTCACCCGAAAAAACAAATTGTCAGAGGGACATTCCGCTCTACCCACATCTTTTAGGGGCACTTTGGCATATATCTCAACTTATGCAGGTATTTTGCAAATTATCCCCCTTCCCCTTCCCC